TGGCTGTGCAGCAGTGTTTTGCAGTGTATTAGTTATTAAAAAATCTTCAGTTACAAGACAGTCAGGAAGGACTTTCTTGGTTTGTTTTAATGTTGTGAAATGCTAGATACCTGCAGGAGGAAAATATGCTGTGTGCTCAGAGCAAGTGCATGGATCTTGAAGATTGCTGAGCATCTTGACCCTGGAATAGTAGTTCCATCATTCCTGTGCAGAAAATAACCCTGTCCAAAATCTTAAGTTGTCCTCTTGTTGGTGTGGGTGTCCTCACTCAGGTCTCTCTGCCTTTACTTGCTACCAGGGGAAGTGGTAACTTGTTCAAGAATCTCATCTGTGCCCTGGGTGACGTGCCTTGTCCTGGAAATGCCAGTCTGGTCTCTGCAATCACTCACAGCAATCTTAATCTGTGGCTTTTGGGAGCTGATGGTTTGCACTTTAGACATGCAGCACCTTAGTCATGAGAGGATGTTCTGGAGAGTCTCTGCTGTATCAAAATCAGAAGGGGTTTGATCCAAGAATGCCCCTCCACATTAAGAAATTCAGTTATTAAATGCCCTCCATTTCAGGGGGTCTATGATAGATCTTTTGGGAATTTAAATTAGTAAGTCATGTTGGTGTGTCATGAGTGCCCCTTCTTACACTGCAGTATTATTTTCAATCACACTGTTTAAATATAATGCTTTTAAGAGAAACAAAAGCCCCTTGAGGAGAACATTGCGTCCTGAAGTACCCCAAACAATAACACTGCTCCAAATTCCTGCTCAGTGTGTGTTGAGGAGACCAGGACAAGCTTGGGACTTTGATTATGAGACCTGAGCCACTGTCACTGGTGAGAAATGGAGCAAGAAGGGTGGAAGGGAGTCTGTAACAGCACAGAGGCAAGGCTGCTGTCTGAGCTGGCCCTTTACATAACCTGGGGTGTCAGCAGTACTTTTGTTGGGGTTTATTTGAATGTCTCTCAGTAGTTAGGACCATCACCCCAAGCTGGGCAGAAACCTTTGGGTGGCCCCGTTTCACCCACGTACTCCTCACCCCTGAGGTTTCTTTGCTTTACAGGGAGCAGTGTTGTATAAAATTGAGTGGTCCAAGGACAGATCCACTCCAAGCCAAATTAAGTTGTAGCCTCTTACATGGTGAAGAAGCACTCCCCTTTTCACTTTCATGTTGTACCAGCAAAAAAATCTTGTGAATAATAGAGTATAGATTGAGTTTGTTCATGTTAGAAGAAATTTGGAGACTGGTGAGTTGTCTGAGGGATGGATACATACACAAGCAAACAAGGACTGTGGGAAGCTGGAAGAGAAGAAGTAAAATCATGTGAAGGAGAGTTGGGCTCCAGGAGAAAGAACAGTTCTCTAGTCCCTACAATTACTGCACTTAAATTCATGGCTGAATAATCTCAGAGGAACTAGGAGAAGGAGTTAAAGAAGTGTAAATTATCACAGCTTCAAAAATCTACAGTTCTAGAAAGAATAGCATGTCCTACAGAGAATGGCAGCACTGAGAACAGCTGTCTTCCCTTTGTGCAGCATAACTACACAGGAATGATTTTTGTATGATTTTGAGTCACATGCTGAAGATTGAGATGTCCAAATGTGAGTGGGATTTATGCATCTGATTTCAGAAACAGATTTTGCACTCCCTAAGATCGAACATTCATTCAGAAATGGTGACTCAGGGGAAGTATGATTGCACACCTCATACTTGCAGAAGTTTTAGTTGCATGTCTTCATCAATTAAAAGTTGCAGAATGAAAACACAGCTTTGGGGTAGCCAGCTATGAGCTCTGTGTTTCTGGACATACAGGGAGATGTTAATAGTATTTCTGATGGCCTCTAAGCAACTGTGTGCCTGCTTGCAGCAGGTTCCTAAAATGTTTCAGGAGTCTCCCCTGTTCTTCTGAGGCATTGGATAACAAAAATGCCTCTTAAAATGGTCTTACTCTAAAAACACTTGATCTCACTGCTTTGCAATTCAAAAGCAGGCAGTAATAAAACACTCCTGGAATGCAGAAGTTCTTTCTCCACCCTGCCAATAAACTCTTGAATTATTTGCACATTGCATTTAATTCTTTTATTATACCAAAAAGAAAGTTCAGTTGATGTGCTCATTTAAGCAAGATGCTAGTGTCAGTCTTTTCTACTCTGTGGTGCTGCATCCATCCTTAGTCTCCAGGAATGTGCTTCTCAATGCAATTGGATTTGGGTTGCTTGCTGGTTGGTTTTCATGACCTTCCTTCTATTCCAGCAGCTAAGTTCCTGGGGACAGCAGAAAGTTTCCTCTGGAGATGGGTCATTGTGACATTCTGTCTGTTCCCTTCTCCCTTCTGTCTTTGCCTTCTGCTCCCTCTTCTGTTTCTCCTTCCTTTGCAATGGCTGCTGAAGGGGGAAGGACCCATTGGTGCTTACAATACACAGGACCCTCAGCCTGGATTGTTGCTCTTCACTTTCTAGAATTGCTGTGTAGTGCTGAAAGAATGTGAGCAGTATTTATGGCATTGTGTATTACAATAGCAGCCAGAGGCCCAAAGCAAACACAAGAGCCTCTGTGCTTCCCATCCTGCAAACAGAAGTCCTACACCATGAAACAGCAAAATGCACAAGACAGGCATTGAGCTGGGGAATGTCCAGTCACTTATTAAGCTGCTGCATTTTGAGACTGGAATTCTCTGTAGAGCTGGAATAATAATTTCCTCTGTCCATGTTGTGTTTAAATCTTTGTTATATGTTAAAAGTTTGTCTATTCTTGTGTTGAGCAACCATAAACAACATTTCATTTTACTTTTTATGTCCCCTTTTCTCTGAGACTGTTTCCATACATTCACTTTCTCCTCACCCCCCTCTCTTTTATTTAAGCACAGACTCACAGCAAATCTATCAATCACAAACCAGCCATTATACTTTTTTTCCTCTTGAGGGATGCATTTATGTGTGCAGCAAGGTCACCAAGCTCACTAAAGACTGCTTGTTTAAAAATCTGTGTGATTGCTCACATTTACATAACCAGATGTAAAATTGGCTGGAACACCTTTCAAAACACCTTTGGAAACCTGTGCTTTACCTTCTGTTTTGTTTAGGGAAACCATACTCAAAAGAGTGTGTTCTCTTCCTTGGGAAAGGTTTTGCCTTTTATATTATCTAAGCTGAGGTGTGCTTTTCTTGAGGATAGGTTAATGCACTGCAGGACTTGGGACAGCCCAGAGCTCAAGGGGTCTGGAAAAGTCAACCATGGCCTCATGAATTTTACCTCTACAAAAAACTGCTTAATGCTCAACAGATTCAAATAAGACGTATTTTTATACTGCAGAACTTAGGCCACATGAGCAAAGAGTGAAAGATTAAGGGTTGCTTTAGTCTTAGAGAGACTGTTGTAAGGAGGCAAAGCCAGGAGATCACAGAAATTAAAGGATGGCTCTAATGGGGTGTTAGTCAGCCTCCCCTGCACATTCTCAATTTTCAGCTGCCAAAAGCTCAGGAAGCTGACAGTGTTCCATCCTGAGGAACTGAATTGTAGGGCAAAAAAGTTATCATCCTTAACAGAGAAATTCAGAACTCTTACACTGATTGTTTTCTGTATTATATTATGAGGCCTTTGCATCTCTCAGCTCTATTGGAGTGACTACAATGAAATAATTGAAGTGTAATGACACTTTATAGTTCATTTGGTAAGTTGAAGTTGTGTTGTCAGCTTAGTGATAAAGCAAAAAGGCTAAAATATTGTCTTTTCTGAAAAGACCAGGTTTGCTTTAAAAAAAATAAAGAAACCTTGCAATTGAAGTAGGTGGCTGAAGGCACTGCAGTGTAATGCAGCTATTGGATCATGTGCTGAGACAAGGGCCCTCTTGCCCTGAGAACTGGGCAAAGCCTGCCAATAATGTGTATTTGCCCTTTATCTTTCTGGAGACTGATGATGACAAGGGGTACTCAGAGTTCCCATTTCAAGCACAGCCTTGTTCAAGGCTTTGTGGGTGAACATGAGCCATAATTGGTGGTTTTACCTGTAAAATAGCTCAGCTGAAGAGCAGATTCTTGGCTTGGCTTTTTCCCAGCCTACAGGGTACAGTTCACTTGAGGTGAAGGACATCAGTCATTGCTCTCTGCCAGCAGAAATAGGGTACACCTGGTTGCCAGAAATCTTTGCTAGATCTTTTCCATCAGTTAAAGACTACATGAAGACCTGAATTTTTCTAAATCTCCTGTATGAAAAACATTTGGAAAAGGCTGCCTGGCAGTTAGTGCTGGTAAACTTTATTTTAAAGCCTTTGGTAAGGGCTCCAATGTTGCATTAGTTACAGATGTCATGAGGACAAAACCCAATGTCAATAGGTTCTTAGGATAAGGCACTAAAGCCTTACATACTTTCTGTTACCTTAAGATGGATTTTGGGTTTTGTGGTACTCCTGCACAAACCGTAAAGTCAGATTTTGAATAGGATGTGATGCTCATATGAAAAAAAATTAAGAAGTAATCAGTATCTACAGCAGATATAACAAGTTGAATATTTTTCCTTTTCTGCATTTTTGTAGCCAAAACTGTGGGGATTTTTGTTGTTTTGTTGTTTTTTTTTCCTTTGGCAATAGTAAGAAAATATTTGGCACAAAACAAAGTAGTCTTGTACCTCAAACATATATGAAGAGCTCCAATAAGTTGCAGATGTATTTGACTGGAAGTAAAGTTGCAGGATGTGTCTCACGTTAAGCAAGCAACATACTTTGCAGACAAAGACAAGCAATATTTGGAAATGGAACTTTCAAGGCCCATCTGAGCTTTTACATCTTTTTGTCTCTGACAGGTGTGTTGACACTGAATATGCTTGTAGAGATCTTGCAAGGTGTAACAATATTAATATTCGTTAGGGTTTTGTAGCAAAATATTATATTGCTGCCTGACAATTGGTCTGGAAATATTTATTCCTTATATAGTAACGTGACTAAAAATGGCACTTCAGGAAATTACGAAAGCTCCACCTTACTATGTTTTTCCATGGCTGCTGTTTCATTTGAGATTGGACATAGGAAGAACCCACAGCCATGGTTACCTGATGGTGCCAGAAGAGCACAATCCTCTTTCACCTTTCCTTGCACGGTTAATGGTAAGGCATGAATCACAGTTACTGCTGGGTACACCTTCGTGGTGATGTATGGTGGCTGGGACGTGTGTATCTGTAATTAATGAGAGGGAGTTGCATGGCTAATTCCCTGTGCACTGCTGACATCCTGTCTGCAGCTTTGTCCCTGATCTCTTACTTACGTGCCTCCAGCAGCCGGTTATTGCATTACATCCTTGTATTATATAAAGAAAGCCTTGACCTTTGTCCTTTGCAATATTGGTTCAGTGCAGGTTCTTAATTCAATTTAGAAAAGAAGTCTAAGCATTAAAACCATTTGATTCTCCTTAAACATTGATGGGACTATTTCTGCTAAGAGAAAGCACTAAGGCTAAGAATTTGCCTTCTAGTTTTTTGTCATTGACAAATGAGTGTGTGTTCCTTCACATTGAAACCATGCAGGAAGCCCAATCTGGGCAGGGAGTACACATCCTCCTCTGCATTGCAAGGCAGCATGAGCCTACAGAAACTATTAGCAGTGCAGTATTTTGTTTATTATTTCATCAAACAATTCTGAAACAATAACCCTTCTGAAGCAAATAACCCTTTCCCTGCTGCAGGAAAATCTCTAGTACTTTTCTTATTTTTCCTCAGTACTACATTCTGTAGCTTATTTAAGGCTTGTGTTTCTGCATCCTCCCTGATAAGCCAGGCTGACACTAGAAATATTGCAGTGCCTTAAGACAGACACCAGCTCGTGGGTGATGGAAGCTCAGGTAATCTCCAGGAAAGATCTGATCTCTTTTTCCTGTCACCATCCATGTGGTTGTGTTAGGGTTTTTTGCAATGTGTGTGTTAAAAGCAGGGTGCTTATGTCTCTGAGTGTCTAAACCCTGTTACTGCTGAGCTTCAGTTCCCCACTGATTGAAAATGGGCATAAAGGTGCTCAATTTTCTTCTGTGGGTATTGTGGGATAAATTCATTAAAGATTTGGAGTATAAGAGCTAGACACAATCTGGCTTTTATTAAAATCATCATGACTGTAATGCTGGTAGCACCTTTGTGCAAATCCTAGCAAAAGTAATTTTTTTATGATGATGGAGATACAGATCCTCTAATTATCCAGGACAACTCAAATTAGCACCACAAATATCTGCTATAAGTTGAGACTGCATGATGTGAAGTATAATTGATTTTTAATATGGTAGGGCACAACTGCTGTTAAGGTATATACAATGTCATTTTCTCCTGTTGGATAGAAGTGTTTTGAAAAAACCTGTTTGTGATTTATACCATTGCTAGAGATTTGGGCTTTAAATCAACGTTATATTATTTGTAGATTCTAAACTGGATACAGTTACATATTCAAAACTAAGAATTTTTATTTTGTATTTTATTCTTAATTTCAGAAAAGTTTTTAGTAGAGCAAAAGAAGATTCCTAGCAAACCTGTGCTTCTCCTCCTTTGGGAGAAGTAAAATAAACCTTGAGCACTGATAAGCTGATTTACTCCCCCGGCCCCTCATTTTTGGGACAATTATGTGTAATCAGTGATTACTGCCTGGATTCCATGTAAATGATATGTCTTTGGCATATGGGAGTTTTTGCAAATCATTTTAAGCAAGGCATTCTTCTATGCTTGGCAGAGGAAGGATACAGAGAGCTTTTGTACCTCAGTTGCACCAAATTGAATATTTCTTTAATCACCCTGGAGAGGAATGCACTTGATTGCATTGTGGAAGTTGTGAATTATTGTTTTTGGGTAGACCTGGTGGGTAATGTATGACCTGACTCCTCACTGCCACTACCCAGCCACCCCCTCAAATCCACCAGCTCTTCTCCCTTGGGCAGGAACTGCTCCACAGTAGTAGCAATAGTGCAACAGTCCAGAGAAAAGAATGTGAGGGAATAGCCATTAATAACAAAGTTGGCAGCCCCCTGTGAGGAGAGCAATTTTCGCATGAAAATCTTCTTCAAAGTAATGAAGCCTTGCTTCATTTGAAGTCTTAACAGGTTGATTTCCACAGAAGTTGATTTCCAGGTAAAGATTTTTTCCCCTGAGTGAGGGGCAAATACTCTCTATTTAAAACAGACAAAAAATCCAAACTGTCAAAGAATTAGCATGTAGTGCAGAAGTTAAATGCTCAAGGTTTTTTCCCTAATAAGATGGTAAAAAGACAGTAACACTTACATGATAGATTATTAATACTCCAGAAGAGGGAAACTGATGAAAGCTTGTGACTGTTTCTGTACATGGCTATGTGGTAACATATTTAGTTTTGAAGTCTCTCAAATATGAACCTTTTCCTCCCCTTTTTCATTTACAGAAAACACTGAAGATGAGGCCAGAACTAAAAAGAGACATTGTGCTGTCATCAGTTTAGACAGTTTCCTGGGAAATACTAAGAAAATGTTTAAGGGGGAAAAACATATTTCTCCATTTTTTATGCTCAGTTTTCACTCATAAACTCCAAGATTAAAGTAGTCACTTTAATTAATCTAGTCTCAATCCTCAGACACAAACAGGGGAGAGAAGCCATGTGCTGCTGGGGTATTCAATTGACAGAGTGAGTACCAGAAAGCTCAGAGGAATCACAGTCCTTGGCCTCAGTTTATGAGCTACTTACCAATTTGACAAACCTAATGCCATTTTGACAAATGTAACTTTTTCAGTGAAGGGCTCATTCAGATGCAAATGTGTTTTCTGACAGTGGGGAGAAAGGAGTTAAACTGCTGCTGCTGCTGCTTTCCCTCTGAAGAAAGAGCAGTGGTTCATCTGCAGCCAGCCTTTCCCTGCTGCTCAGCACACAAGGGATAAGCCCCTCCCAGGAGGCAGACAGGGTAATGCCATCAGTTAGGAGCAAGAAATGCTCATCCCATGTCTGGAGCAGCTACTAAAAAGTGATGCGTGACATCCTGAACCAGCATGAACACATTCCTACTGAGCTCGACAAGCAGAGCTTTGCCCATCCTATTTTCATTGAATCCATGTGTTGGAGGCTTTATTTTCACAGTGGTCAGCAAAATCTCTGGATGTACATGTCTGCACAACACAGGTGCAAGCCTTTGGTTTATGATCCCCATCTGGAAGCGGGCAGCCCGGGCTGGGAGCTGTGCTTTGTGTGCTGAGGAGTGGGGCTGGGGCTGGGTGACGCAAACAAAAAGGGACTCCCAGCTGCAAACCCTTCACATCTGATGGGACCCAAGCGAGTGCATGGCTGCCTCTGCCCATATGTGCAGCTATATCAAATGTAAACATGAATCCAGTTAATTTTCACACACTTGTTACAGCTTCCCGTGTCTCAGTGGAGGCCTCTGAGAGCCCTCCTCCTTCTTGATCTTGCTGGGAAAGCCTGGATTTATGTCAGCTCAGGCTGTTCCCTGGATGCATGCTGGGGTGCCAGACGTGGGACAGTGGCTTCATTTCAGCATCAAGGAGAGAGATGAGCCAGGCTGGGGGCAGATTCAGCCTCATCAATCCACATTGTCATCTTAATTTATCAGCTATTGTCACAGAGAACAGGGAGCCAAACGGATGGAAGGGAAAGGCTTCTTCAAAGAAAGACCCAGGGGGTCATAAAATGTCTTAAATTGGGAGGAAGGGCTTAGTTGTCAATCAATGCTTTCCTGCTCACAGTGTTCCTGGCATGGCTTTCTAGATAAGCACGTCACTAAATACAGTATCTGGGATGGGAAATGATGTATCTCCCTGGTTTGATGCTTGCTCTTTTAACCAGAGCCACAGAAGAGGAAAATGTCAATGATTTCTCATATGTGTACTAAACACGTGGGTTGTGATTATTTATGTTTTGTTGTTTTTTTTTCCTGTGAGTGTCTGGGATCCATTGGAAGCAGCAGCTCAGTGCTCTGCTAGTGCAGCAGGTAGTCAAACTTCAGGAGAGGAAGGCAAAGAAGGGGAAAGTTGCTTGGCTGTGCACAGGGATCTGTGAGTCCCACTGAGGTTTGGGGTGCCAGGGTGGATTGCTGTGCCAGGGTGGTGGCCCCAGGGTGCTGGGACCAGGCTCTCCTTCCTGTGCATGGACAATGGCCCCGACCTGGCCAGTGAATCAGAGCCTGGACTCGCCCTGCAATCAGCGCCGCAGAGCTCAGGAAATGAGGCACCTGCCCCACTTCCTCTCATTTAAAGGGTTTATTTTTAAGTGGAAAAGGCTATGAGATTTGTTCCTTTTTCTCAGGGACTTCACGTCCTCTGGAGATCCCTGAAGGATGGGGTGAGGTATGAGCAACCTCAGGGACCTTCCTTTGGGAACCACGTCCTGGTATCTTCACTCAGCACCCCGCACCAAGGCTGAGGCTGTTCATGGGATATACATGAACCAATCTACTGAGAGCATGGCAGAATCTCCTGATGCTATCTGAGCTTCCTTCCACCATGACCCCAAAGTGGAAACTGTTGCTGAATAAAAAAAACCCAGGTCCTGGCTCTGCTGAGCCTGTGTTTTCCACATCTGCATCTGGTGACTGTCACTGTGGTCCTGGTGAGCAGTGAGGCTCTCAGGCTGGGAGGCAACACCATTGCAGATAGTTTGGTCTGGGCTTTTGCTGAGATCTACAGAATTCTAGATGGTAAGCCTGCCTCACTGCCCATTTGTGACCATGGCACCACTTCTACTGGACATTTTGTGTGAGGAGACTGAAACTGAGATTCATCTGTGGAGCAGTGGGTCTTCCTCCATAGGGTTATTCCTCTCATGGGCAGTATTTGAGATGCTCACTGACTGTTTTCTATCATAAAATCACACTGTAAATGTGATTTTCAGGAGTATTCCTTTGTAAAACAGGCCCAGAAACATCAAGGCAATGTAATGTGATCTATGTTTACTTTCCATATTTTGAAGAAATATGTTTTTTGTGCTCTTCTATTCAGTGGCTCCTCTGTCTCTATCTCACACTTTGTTTCTCTGTGGGCTGGCTGGGTGCTGCAGTGCTGCAGTTCTGGGTCTGGTGCTGTACCCAGGTGAGATGTCTCTGTGAGGTGATGCCCTTTTGGGGACCTGAAATGGTTTGTCTGTGGCCCAGCAGTGC